TCTGTGGCTCACAATCAATTCCAAAATTCTTCAGAGAGACCTTGAGAGTATTCTTGTATCCCTTCTTCTGACCTCCTTGTGAGTGCTTGCCTTGTGTGAATTCTCTGTAAAATAGTCTTTTAGGCAAACGTACCTTTGGCATTCAACTAATGTGATTGGAGTTGTGCTCGCTGCAGTAGAGTTTGAATGCTTGGCAGTTTAGCTCAAGAAAGGACCTCAGTGCTGAGTACCTTATTTTGCCAAGTTATCTTCAGAATCTTCCCAAGACAACTCAAATAGAAGTGATTAAGTTTCCTGGCAAGATGTCCAGGTTTTACAGTCATACAACAATGAGGTCAGCACAATGGCTCGGTAGACCTTCAGTTTGGTAGGCAGTCTAACATCTTTTCTCTCCCACACTTTCCTTTGGAGCCTCCCCAATACTGAGCTAGCTCTGGCAATGCATATGTCAATGTCATCTATGTGTACATCCTTGGAAAGTATACTCCAAGATAAGTGAACTTATCTACAGCATTCAAAAATAAACAAGTAATCAAAGAAAATGCTTTTCTTCTGTGACTTGTATTCTCAACATCTAATGCAGAGCATTGAGCATATTCTTAATAAGTATTGATTTGAACTGTCTTTTTTAGGAGAGCCCTAGGTTCTGTCACTTTTGTCACTGTTTTATTTCCTTCTTTTCTTTAACACACACACACACACACCACACACACACACACACACATACACAAATCTTTTATTTTATAGATGAGGAAACTGAAACTTATCTCTCCTTCCACCACTCTATGGTTCAGCCAAATTGACCTCTCTATTCCTCAAACATATATTCTGTCTTCTATGTCTGTGCCTTTGCATTGTCCATTCCACTCTACTCCCCCAATGCCTTCTGCTTCATCTCTACTTCATAGAATCCCTCACTTCCTTTAAGACTGAGCTCAAGTAAGATCTAGAGGAAGCCTTTCACCCTAGCTACTAGCACACTCTCCAACCATCTACTGTTTATTTTGTATATACTTACAAATGAGGTGTATGATGTATTCAGGGAAGACTGGAACCTCTAGCATGAGGGCTTGCTAAACTCTTTTCAAGGTTGCTCATCAATTACCTTCGGGTCTACCTGTCACCAATGCTCACCTGTGGCTCCAAGAAGCTACAGCATAAGCAGCAGCTACCCCCAGTAAAACTATCTCAGCAGACTAGTTAAACCAGCTTGAGGGTAACCAACAAGCCTTAAACCTGTTGGTGAATTAGAGGGATATCTCACCTAAGCATATGATGACTTCCAGAATGGGCTTATGAGAACATTTTGTTCCAGTATCCATGAAGGTGGCTAAAACAGGGCTGTGAAGTGCCTAGAGCTTGGTCAGACATCTAAGATGCCAAGGCCATCCACTGCATCCAGGGTCATCACCAACTGTCCTGACTTTTATTTTGCCATTGGACTTTGATTATTCTGGAAGAGAAAATGAGGCTGACAACTTTGTGCAACTCTGCCTCATTTAAATCCAATTCACACACAAGACATGACATCACCACCTGGATCACTGGTCCTCTTGGAAAGGAAGAACAATGACACATACATAGGTATAAATGTGTGTAGACATGCATATATACAGGCACACATATACATACACACAATCACACTTTTCTCCCTTCTCACCTCCCTTTGAAAGCAAAGCTTTTTTTTTTGGTCTTTGTATCCTCAGCAACTAGTACAAGTGCTTGGCACATAAGTATTTATTTAATAAATGCTTGATTTGCTGATTTTAGATAAGTAGTAAGCTTCTTGGGCTTCAGTTTCTATCACTGTAAAACGAGGGGGTTGCATTTATGGTCTTTAAAAAACCTTTTTTTCCAGTTTTACATTTATGATTTTTGAGAGGTAGAGTAGTCCAAGGTCACCCAGTCAGTAAGCATGAGTAAGCAGTACAGTCAGGATTCAAACTCGGTGGGGTGGGGGGGGTGTGTGTGGTGTGGTGTGTGCGTGTGCGTGTGTCTCTCAAGATAGTGGGAACGGTGAGGACGCCCTCTGGGTATGTACCACTCGGTGGCACTTGGGACAAAGTGTGAGGTGATGGGGGACATCATCGGATATACGCCACTTAGAGGGCATGGGGAGTAATTCAGCGGGACACAAAAGTGACATTCAGGATGATTTGTATTATTGCTGTTTGGTAAAACAGAGAAGATAAAGACAGAGGGGAAGAACCTTCCAGAGTTGCCTCGAGGAAATGAAAGTGGGAGGGGGGAAAGGGAAGGGATTCGGGCACAGTGCGCAGACTCAGTACTCCGCCGCCGCGTTGTGCCCCGGAAGTGTTTCCTGCGGTTCCGCCTCCAACCCCTCTTATCCGTGCTTGGAGAAGCGCCGCCTCCTTTTTCTCTTCCGCCGCTTTCGTGTTTGCACTCGGTAAGTTTTCTCTGCTGCCCCAAGAGCCCTCTCTAATCCCCCCCGCCCCCTCCGCTGTAATTTCGGAGGTCCAGGGCCGGGTCCCCCTGTCCGAGGTGGGGTTCAGCCGCCGGCCAAGTTCCTGGGCTGGCCGGCAGTGCTCGGGCGGGTCGGAATCAATCCTCGTGGTCGGTCTGAGAAGGAAGGAGGAGGGCGGGAGGCCCCCAGCCGAGGTCTGTGCTCACTCCCGGCGGTGAATCTTTGTCTTCCGCAGGCCCCTCAGCTTCCGACATGCAGAACGATGCCGGTGAATTCGTGGATCTCTACGTGCCCCGGAAATGGTGAGCAAGGGCGGCTCGTGTCCCCCCCCCCGTGGCCGGTTCCCGACCCCCGCCGTAAGGGGGACATCCCCTCCCCCACGCGCACCCCAACCATTCTATCCTTGTCCCGTCCTCCCGCCGAGCTCCCCTGACTCGGACCGTTGTCCCCGCAGCTCCGCGAGCAACAGGATCATCGGGGCCAAGGACCACGCGTCCATCCAGATGAACGTGGCCGAGGTGAGCGCCACTTGGCTGGAGGAGCCGGGGTCCGGTTGTCAGTTTATTGGCGTGAGGCCAAACTAGCGTCAGCTCGGGAATCTGGGAGCCTAGATCCTTGTCTTAGGAGAGAAACAAATGGAGGAATGGAGACAGGAACAGTAATAGTCAGCTCTGAATGTAGCATTTAAGTTTTGCAAAACGCATTGTGTGTTGTTTAGCCTCAGAACAGCTCCAAGGTAGGTGCTGTTATCCACATTTTACAGATCAGGAAACTGAAGCCAGGAGAGGTTAAGTGATTTGTCAGAAATCATGCCCCTTGTTTAAAGTCACAGTAAGTTAGTGTTGAATCCAGAACCAGAATTCAGATCTGCTGGCTTCTCAGCTGCTTGATATTAGTCCTGAAGTTTGAAATCTTAAATCTTTTGACATGTTGGGAACTAGATTACAGATCCATGGTTTAGAAGCCAGGAAATTTGGAAGTTCTTATTTAACGTTGGAAATGAGTAGCTCTAATATATTACAGTACACTGGGATGGAGACCTGCTGTAGCCTAAAAAACAAAACAAAATAAACCTGTAAAATTGATGATGGGCCTTCACCAATGAGCAAAAGCTTAAATGAATGATACTATGGAGATTCAGCCTCCATAAGTTGTTGATTAACTCTCACAAAAGATTAACTCTCAGCAGAAGTGTAGTGTAAGGCAGATTTATGTTTAGTATAATGCTGAATAATTGTCTTTCTTTGTCAAGCAATAATATCCTAATTCAGAGTTTACTTAGAAACCCAGAACATGCTGAAACAAACTCTGCATACAAATGGTTGGGTGTATTTTTTCCAAATATTAAATGAGATGTTTTTTCCATAGCTTATAAAAAATAGAAATAATTTGTTCCAATTGAAAAGTGAACTATAATTATCTTTTTTTAGGTTGACAAGGTCACAGGCAGATTCAATGGCCAGTTTAAAACTTATGCTATTTGTGGAGCAATTCGTAGAATGGTGAGTAGTTTTTCTCTTAAGTAGGTAACAAATTTCAAAACATTAAGCACGCGATGAGAAATAAGGTTTGAGAATTGTAACGTGAATATGACTGGTGGGATCATAGGTCTCTACAAGGCATTCTGTCTACTTACATTCTGACAAAAAAAAATTCGGGTCCAGTAGTTGTTCTAGTCTGGTTGATTAAAGAAAAAGGGGTAATAAGGTGGAGAACAAGGTAGCTGTTATAAACTACTTGAAATGAAGAAGGATTAAACCAAGAACACATTACAAAAGCACCTTTTAGCTTGATTTTTAAAAAATTTGCTTAACAGTTTGAGTTGTCCAAAAGTCAGATGAGCTGTTGGAGAGTTGCTTAAACAGATTACATGATGGAGAGAAGGTTCCTAGTTAGGTATGGTTTGAATTAGATGACATTAGATTGGATTAAATCTTGCCATTTTTAACTTGAAAAAGCACAGCTATTTGCTCTGCAGCTGTAGTCAAAAGACTAGGTTGGTTGTCAGATCCAGTGCTCTTTCCCCTTGATAAAGTCAAGGATACTCAATACTCACTTCCTACCTCACATGTAAAGCATTCTGCGGTGCTGTGCTCACTTTGTTACGAGGTTTAACATGTTCATAATCTCACTAGATTTCTGGAAAAAGATAACCTTTTTAGTTACTCAACTGAAACTTAAAATCTTATAGCTAATTAAGTATCAGATAAAGCTAATTCAAACTAACTTATTTAAGGGAGAATCTGATGACTCTATTCTTCGGCTGGCAAAAAATGATGGTATTGTTTCAAAGTAAGTACATCAGTCCTACTTGAATACCCTTAGTTTTTTTTTTCTTCTAAGTTTCATAATTTTCAATAATTTTTCTTCTTGTTCCCCTTAGGAACTTCTAATTGAAGAAATCTTGTGGAAAATGTCTTAATAAATCAGAAAAGCAGCATTGTGTGTTGATTCATTTTTATGTTAATAGTTTTTTGAGGTCAACACTTAAAGTGACTTTAGCATTAAGAACTGTTTAACTATTCCCACTATTAGCCATCTCAGTTACCACATACAGAGAATGTCTGAGAAAACATACATATCAAAAGCAAGTTTTATTTCACAGCACATCTCAATTTCACAAATTCATCATCTTACTATTGAAAACAGACCAATTACAAGTGACTCAAATACAATGACATTTAAAACTAAATAGTTTACACAAGTTTACATTAACCTAGTGCAGTTGTGCTGAAAGAAAGCAGCACTACATATTATAGCCACAAACCCAAATACTTAAACACAGACAGCTCAAACATTCCAACATTTTTTCTTGAAAAGTTTTAGGGCTTAATTTTGGTTTAAATATTGGCTTTGTTGCAGTAATTCTTTGCTACCACACAGTGGCAGCTTTTATATTACTAAAAAGGGTACATTTATTATAACAAGGCTTTTGAGCCAAATAGGTTATATAAAACCGATTTGGCAGCTAAAATTGAAAACTACACATATATACACACAGTTAAACTTAAATTACTGTATTTGCCAACAGTTTCACTATTGGCCATACAGAATGTTTAGAGGAAAGTACCTAAAGTATATGTTGTAAACCATAGAGCAAATATTTGGGAATCATACCCTTACAGTGCTTAACATGTATTTTATAAGTACCCTTTTGAGACGATTTCAATGGCATAACTTATTTTTAAGAAGACTCAATGCCCAGTAGGTACTGTGCATGTAATTTCATAGTTAGACCAGCCAAACTGAAGTAATAACTTTTAATAATTTTAGGCTGGCTCCTTAGTAAAATGGATAAAGGGACAACCTCATGGGGAAAATAAGTTTAAGGTGCTTATACAAATAGGATTGTTATTGGCTCATTTAAAAACTGAAACACTGTCCCATAAAGAGTATTTGAGCATAGCATAGTTCATACTTTTTGTAGCTTCCGTAATAATACTCATCTGTAGATGATTCCAAAGCTATCGTAGCTATATTGGTAGTACTGTGTCAGGCAAAAAACGATTTTGATGGACAAGATGATAAATATACCTGTTTCATGCTGATCTCCATCCCTGCCTCCCCTAGCAACTGTCAAACTAATTCATTACCTGTAATTGTTATATGGTGCAACATAACCCCAGTAGAAAACAGAAATCTTTAAATGGCTGGGAGCTAGTTAAAAAAACAAAATAGGCAAAGGGACTAGTAGTCTAGTATGACATGTTTGGGAAAAAAAAAGACAAAACTGGGAAGGGATGGTGAGGAGTGCAAGTCCTTTAATTATGTTCAAATATTTAGGCTTGATTGGACCTGGGTTAATTTACCACAATGTCTAATATACCCAATAGCAACCAGTACTTGAGAGGCCTAAATTGTTTGGACTGAAGATTGGCCGGTAACCTGGCCCTGATTTCCAGACAGTACTGGCAACAAGTGTTTTTAAAAAGGTTTTCCCCATAAAGAAACTTGTTTCAGTTCTTGTATATGTCAGCATGCTTTTCAACTGTGTGGAACTCAGCTTACATGTTTATCATGCAAGTTAATTTTTCAAAGACATATTTGATAAAGATTGACCTGAATACTGATCATGTGTTGCATACAAATTCATAAAATACAAGTTTATGACCAGTTGGTATCATCACTGTAGTATATACTGTGTAAGACACATCAACTATTTGAAATTTGCAGCAATTAAAGTCTAACCTATGCCTTTACAAAATTGTGTACACAATTTGATACTATGTGTACAATATTTAATGTAGCCCAAACAGGCAAAACAAGTTTACAGTACTTTAAAGAGCAACTGTCCCTCTCTCTCTTCCAGAGCAAGGTATGTTATTCAAGTTGGTCTTAAGTAAATTCCTTAATCAAAAAAATCCAATTATTTTTGTTCGCTTGGAAAAACCAAAATGAACACCAATTTTCTCAATCACAATATTGCTTAGGAAAAAAGAAAATGTTAATCAGCAAGTAACTACTGTAGGACCAAAGTGTTGCAAATTTTATCCAAACATTTGTTTAGTACTTGAGTTATATGTCATTTTCCTGCCCATGACAGTTACAAGCATTGTACTCAAGTCTTACAAGTGCCTGTTTGGATAAGCAACATGCCAGTTTCAAGAGGAACATCACAGTGGCATGATGCTTGGAAGAACAGAATTCGAGTGAAAAAATACAATTAAAAAACTTCAAATCTTGTTTCATTGGCTTAATTTGATAGCAGAAACTATAACTGCTGACACTTGAGAGAACTGCATGCAAAAAGTAGTCAAAAAGGTACTTTGCTTTTGGTACTTAAAACAATGGCAAAGACCATCCTGAAGTGACAGAAACCGCAAATCACCCTTTCAGCCAATGCACTTCTCAAGTATGACTGCATGATGAGATATTTCCCAACATTTAACATTCTAAAATTTTAACTATCCCTTTATCCATATATTAATGCTTAAATGAGTAATTAAATCATCGATGAACCAATTGTTCAAGATCTGGAAATCCATGTCCCATTGTTATGATAATGCAGTTGTGGAATTCTTTTCTGAATGCAAGGCAAATGCAGGTAAGCATAAAATGCTATTGTATAATTTAAGAATTTATAACTTACGCAAGAAAAAGACTGGTACCAGACCAGTTTCAGGCACATAAAAAAAATGCATTGTGTTCATATAAAAAAATGCAGGAAAAATTTCAAATACCATTTGAAGTATGACATTTTGGAATGAAAGTAATGATGAGTAAGTAAGAAAACAAGATAAAAATCTTTCAAAGGAACAATAGCATAACATCTTTTGAAAGGAAGAATAAACAGCCACAGTGACAACTACATCATGAATTACTTGTGCTTTAGTGTCTGAAGGAAATAATCCTTTCTGTGCCAATAAACCTGTTTTCACCCAACAAATACTCAACTATGCCATTATGAGAACACACATTTTAAGTAACTGAAAGCTGTGACATAATAGGGGCACACAAAAGATTAGTAGGAAGTGGAAGTCATTCAGCAGCAAAGCATTCTGTAAATCTTCCTGCCAACTGGGTAGAACTTGGCTTTGGCTACGACTGCTGCGTGAGACGTCTATAATGAGGTAAAACTTGGTTCTCAGGAAGGTAAAGGGCCAGTTCCAGAGCCACAAGCACTGTAAATTCAAATCCAATTAGATCTCTTCGGTTGAATCGGAATCGTTCTTCTAACTTCTGCAATAAAGAAGAAAGAATAAGATTGTTTTCTCCATTATTTTCTAGCTATGTTAACAGACATCACTTTGCTCAATTGTGGCTGTCGCTTTTTTCCGGGATCAAACAAAACAAAACCAGAAAAAAAACTTAATTGCCTTCATGTCTAAATCTGAAGACATTGGGATATTTCTGTTAATGACTTAAAACATTTCCAAAGCCTGGGAAGAACAACTAGTAAATGCACAAATCATCACCCTCCTTACATCTGTGTTGTAAAGGATAAAGATCTGTTAGTTTAAGTGAGACCACCTTCCTTCCAGTTGCCATCATGGGGAAAATAGCACCAGTCTATATTTATATTTGATCTTTAGCTCTGAATTCTATAATTCTATGTCCTTATATATATGAATTTTAATGTCCTCTCATCTTCCCACAGCAGCGGAGATCAGAAATTACACCCTAGTTAATGTCTGTTGCTAGCAGATACAGGTGGAATTTAGGAAATTTGTAGAAACCATTCAGCATGCTCTGACTAGACAAACCAAAAGCTGGAACTGCCAACAGGCTTGGTACTTATACACTTCATGTTGTATCATGAAAACAGCAGAATTCTGGTTCTACTTACATCAATGAGCTGCTTGACTTCGTTCTTCCTGAGGTCGCTGCTGATCTTTGCTGCAAGGAGCACACAAGCGCCAGCGCACAGTTTGCGGTTCTGTTTGTTTAGCTTGCCTTGTAAGACAAGCTTCTCAAAGTAAACATAAGCCATTGACACGGTAACTGGTTCGAGGTTGCATTCTTCAGAGAGATTCCTCATTTCCCGTTTTAAGCTGTGAGTAAACAAAAACCAAATCATGTTTCTGGTCATGAGGCAGCATGGATCCTAATAGTTTTACAGACTAAGCAGTTTTATAAACAAGTGGGAGATGATTACCTTCCTACAAGTTTAAATGACTGCTAGCCCATCTTTACTCATGTTTTTCTTACCTTCTAATTTTACTCAGCGTAAGTTTGATGTGAGGAAACTTCTCTTTAAATGTTTCATTCATGTCCTTTTTAAGGTCTGAAGGCTTCACGTATTCTATCACGGTGGTCTGAAATAGGAAAGGAAGTTGCCTGTCATTTAAGGCATTTTCATAGTTGAACATTTACATTGCTTCAAAGCCAATTTACCCTCAAACCCCATCTTGGCACCTCCTACTGCCATAACGATTATGGGTACAGCCTTGGGTGTCAAAATGAAATGTCACTGTTTAGTTGTTTTCATGCCAATGCTTGTTAACAGCCAGGTTTATGCAAATAAATATGGACTGTTTTCAAAACCTTAAAATTCTCTATGGAAAGCTGTTTTGGGAGGTTTAATGAAATGAAGATGAAACCTTATAATAAGGTCCTGAAGCAGGGTTTAGAATATAGAATTATGCATGAGTTCTGTGCTGCTTAGGGGGGTTAAGTAACTGAATAAAAAGAGACAATATTGCTGACTAGCTGTTCCCAGACTGCCAAGAGGCACAAGAATTCCACTAATTTTTGTTATTTATAATCAATCTTAGTTTCCTTGAAACAAGTTTCTTAGCATAATTCTAGTTGCTAAGTTATTAATCTGTTTTAAATGGGAACCATTTGTCCAAAATGAATGTCACTTAAACATGTGTGGCCATCAGTCAATAAGCATTTATCGAGTACCTACTATGTGCTAGGAACTGTTCTAAGGACTGAGGATTCAAAAAAAGGAAAAAATAATAAAAAGTCCTTGCTTTCAAGGAGTCCACTGGGGGGAGACAATATGCAAACAACTATGTACAAACAAGATATATGAAGATAAATTGGAGGGGGCAGCTAGGTGGTGCAGTGGATAGAGCTCAGGCCTTGGAGTCAGGAGGACCTGAATTCAAATCTGAAATTAGATACTTGACACTTACTAGATGTGTGACCCTGGGCAAGTCACTTAACCCTGACTGCTTCACCAAAAAGCCAAAAGAAAAAAAAAGATTGAAAAAGGCTGCTTGTAAAAGGTGGGATTTTAGCTGAGAAGCAAGGAAGCCAGAGATGAAGGAAAGAATTCCAGTCACAGTTACAAGCCAGGGAAATGCAAGCAGTGGGGAGATGGAGTTTCATGTTCTCAGAATAACAAAGAGGCCAGTCACTGGGATTGTAGAGCAAGGAATATGTGTGGAGAATACTGAAGGTGAGAAAGGAAAGACTGGAAAAGTAGTTGAGGGCCAGATTATAAAGGGCTTTGAATATCAAACAGGATTAAGTGGGGGAGAGGGGTATGACATGATCAGACCTACATTGAGGAAGATCGATTTGACAGCTGAGTGAAGAATGATCTGGTGTGAGGAGAGACACTTGAGGCTGGGAGATGGACCAGCAGGCTATTTCAATAGTCCGGTATAAGGTCACGGAGGGCCTGTACCAGGGTAGCAGCAGTATCAGAGGAGGGAAGGGAATATATATCAGAGACCTTACATCAATAAAATTGACAGGCCTTAGCAAAAGACTGGATATATGGGATGAGTAAGGATGACACCTATGTTGGAACCTAGGTAACTAGGAAGGTGGTGGCAGCCTCACCAGTAAGAGAGAACCGATACTAGAAGAATTTAACCACTTAGCCTTAATTCTTCGTCCAGTTTTAGAGGATAATGCTACTAATGATTTGTTTTCTTCATATACAGGCACGTTAAAATCCACTGTTGTCAAATCTCTTTTGTAACATGGTTTATTTTCCCACTAATCTTCCTAAGGACAGATACTCAAAGGTTTTACTAATCTGATTCTGTAGCATTGTATGTATACAGTCAGTGTTAAATTAAGCAACTTTTTTTTTTGACAGAATGAACATTCTAGCACCTTGATTGATTACACAATCTGCCACTAAATCAATTCTTTAGTAAATGCTAGACACAGAAAAATACCACTGTTCAATTTTTATACACTTTGTTGTTTTCTTACCATATATGATGCAAAGATAAGAACACGCTTGTGTTTCCCACAGGGCCACTGAGGATCATCAAGGAGATTAGGATTATATTCTATTGAATCACCTGTCTCACTCCCTAGAAGCACAAACAATCGCATCAGACATAGGAATCAGTCAGAAACTGCTTTCAGATAAAAGGTACCCAGCAAATGTTTGGTGTTATTTTTTTTCCCTTTAAATCACTGATTTCAGTTTCAATTTTTTTTAAGTCACCAGCAAGGTGGACAGAGTACTAGCCTTGAAGTGGAACACCCAATTCAAATGCTGCTTTAGATACTTCGTAACTATGTGACCTTGGATAAATCTCAACTTCTTTCGTCTCAGTTTCTCATCTGTAAAATGGGGATGATAATAGCACTTACCTCACAGGTTTAAGATCAAATAAGATAATCTGTAGTGCTCTGTAAGCCTTAAATTGCTATATATAAGTTACTAATGATAATAACAATAATATTAATATGTTTAACTGAGAAAAAAGTTAAAGGTTGTTTATAAGGAACAGAAAAAGATGTTAGATTACTGACCCCTACTTCTACTAAGGATAGGGAAAGCAGAAGTGGGTCTAATAAGGCCATTCATTGTGAATTTCCTCTTCTTCCCTTCTCATCTCACATTACCCAAAGGCCTTTTGCTACTATCTCCTCCTTTACCTTTGTCTCACATGAAAAGGTGGGCCTTCTCCTTGCCAAGGCTAATCTGTGCAAGTGATCCTCCGTCCTATCCTGTCTTCTCCAACAGGTTGCCTCCTCTATCATCCCTATTCTCTCACTTATATTCAATGTCTCCCTGACTACTGGCTGCTTCCCTACTGCTTAAAATATGCCAATGTCTCTCTCATCCTCAAAACCCCGCCATTTGCTCCATCCATGCCCATTAGCTATTGGCCCATATCTTTCCTTTGTGGCTAAACTCCTTGAGAAGGCCATCTACAAAGATGCCTCCACTTCCTTTCCTCTTATTCTCTTCTTAACTTTCTACAGTTTGGTTCCTGATCTCATCATTCAGCCAAAATAGCTCTCTCCATATCTAATAATTTATTAATTGCCAAACCTCATAGTCTCTTCTCAATCTTCATCCTTTTTGACCTCTCTACAGTCTTTAACGCTATCAATCATCGGCTTCTCCTTGCTACTATATTCTCTCTAGGTATTCATGACATTATTCTCTCTTGCTTCTCATACCATCAATCTGACCACCCTTTAGGCTTCTTTACTAAATCTTCTTCCAAGGAATACTTGCTAGCCATGGGTATTCATAGGGCTCTGTCCTGGGCCCTCTTCTCTTTTCCTTTTGAATGACTGACTTATACTATAGAGTGAAGAATTTAATTTAGATATTATGTTAAATGGAAAAATTTCCTGGGTGGGAAGAAAGCTGTAAAATTTCTTTCCTTAGATCTTTCATAGAAAACTAGAGCTTCATCTCTCTGAAATGGGATAAATGTGTTCCCAGCAAATGGACATAAATGTGCGTGCATGTTCATACATCTCAAAAATGCCAGCATACCCATCATTGGCATTTCTTTGGGTTTATATACTGTCATAGTGAGGAACAAGGGCATAGTCCATCGTGGAAATTCTCCTAGTCATATGCTTAAGGTAGAAGGTCAAGTGTGCATGAATTTGACTGAATGGTTGGGAGTGGTAGAGAAAAAAAGATAAATGTAAATTGTGAGTCAACTACAACATTTAGATAGGACACATGGATGGAAATTATTTTTCTAACTAAAACTGAATTTGCCTATTTCTTCCCTGTTAAGTGAAAATGGCAGGAAACAGTGTTTCTACTAATGAAACTCTCAGACATTTGTTACAATAAATGCTGCACTTAGGATAATTAGTGAAAATGTGGTGAGAATCAGTAAATGAACATACATGTACAATATATCCACATTCACTTTTGGGGTATTTTTATTGGTTTTCAGTTTTGTTTTTGCTTGTTCAGTTTTTCTTTTTGTTCTTCATATATGTATTGATGGAAGACAAATTTGGTCAAAAATAAGTATTAATAGTACCATACAACTATAAAGGTAATATTATTATGTCACTGAAGTTACTCAGTGAAGCAGTACTCTTGACAAATGGTTAATTTTTAAAGCTGGATTTCCTTTTGTGAGATCTGAACCAATTTAGTCCTTAACTGAAACACTAAAAACAACACAGGCAACATAATAATTAATGTGTACCTGCAAGTCTACTAAACAATTCTAAGATGATTTTCCCACATTTAATTTTTGAAATTTATTCTTGGCTCCCTTTAACTTCTGTTAAGCCTTTATCAATCTGCTTTCTCCATTTCCTCCAGTATTTATCTTTCTGGGTATGTATCTCAGCATATTAATGCTGGTCTTAAGTTGGCTTAATTTCAGCTACTGGTCACGTCATTGTTGCTGGCATGCTAAGTCTTTGTTCAAAATAAGCTTATTAGATTCGCTTTACTTTTTCAGTCTCCCCCATCCCCAATCCATCCTTCACACAGCTGCCAAAGTAATATTCTGAAAGCACAGATCTGACCACATCATGTTCAAGAGGCTCCAGGGTACTCTTGTAGCTTCTAGGATCACACATAAGCTCTTCTGTTTTCCATTTAAACTCCTTCACAATGTCGCCCCAGCCTGCCTTTTCATATTCTTACATATTTCCTTCCTTCTTCCACTCAAGGATCTGGTTAAATGGGCTTTTCTTGCCATCCTTCAAACATGACCCTCTGTCTCCCTCCTTGGTACTTTGGACCAGACTGCTCACTTCTCCTTTAGAACTCTTGCTTCTTTCAAAGCTCAACTCAAGTGCCACTGTGAGACTTTTCCTTATCCTCCCAACTACTAGTTTCTCCCTGTCAGAAATTCCAGTGTATTTACTGTGTATATATTTTGTATCAATTTGAGTGTGTACATGTTTCTCCTGATAGAATGTAAGCTCCTTGAGGGCAAAGATTGCTTATTTTTGTTTTTATTGTCAGTTCTGGACACACAGGTTCTTAAATAAGTCCTTGTACATTGGTTAATGAACTGAAAGAAAACCTTATGATATAAAACTTCCTACCTAATTCTGTGCCTGATGGCACAGATTTAGCTGTTGCAGATTTGTATCTTGACCCAGGCAGAGTCCGTGGAACGTTAGATCGAGGCTGAGATGCTGCAGCGTGATTATCACTCTTATGTGTGACAAGGGCATTTGTAGGATACAAAAATTTTGCATAAGATACTACCTGAAAAACAAGTTCACGTTCAGTATTACTCTTCCTCACTTGACTGAGTTAGACCAAAAAATAAACAGCGCTCCCCCACCCTCCAACCCAAGATTCAGGAGGCTTTTCTTGATGTTGAATGTAATGTTGATACAGAAAGCAAAAATGAACCCATTCCCAACTGCTTACTCAGGATGAGAGGAAAAAATCATATTCATAGGCTCTCTTTTCAACTTTAATTTTATTTCCTTTTACTCACATCAGTAGTCCAGTTTGACCCTACTGAGCTCCTATGAACAGAAATTAATGTCTATGTCTGGATTAGTTCCACAAGGAATTTTACCACTGAAAAACCAGCATCTGAATAAAGTCCATTTATATATGATCCAAATGAATATTTTGTGTATTTTACCACTGTTTTGATAATCTGTAGTATTCAATCCTGCCCACTGTTCTACCATTTCAACATTTATGACTTCAAATGTTTCCTATGAAGACTTCATATAATATAATGAATTGAAAAGGATTAGTGCTATGTGATATGAGATTTAAGACACATTCCTCCAAATAAGAGATCTGCTTATATATTTTTGTTTGTGTTAAAGTAGTAGCTTAATATTTAGCTTCTTTAGAAAAATAAAATCAGAAGTGCAAATGGCAATATAATACATAAGTCTATCTTCCATAAGTTTGTATAAGCTTCTCTCCTATTTATATCTTTCAATTAATTATAAACATTTATATACCCAAAGTTAAAATTTTTAAATAAAAGTTTAAATGTTTAGCTCTTTCAGTATTTTTAAAAATTCTGACTTCAAAAATACTATAGACAATAATTAGCATTAGTTGCTCTGAAAATATGAAGACTATTCTCTTACCTTTCCATCAGCACCAAGCTCAACTCCTTCCAATACAAAGACCATCTCAGAAGACACTGAAACCCCACCAGATGGATGCCTCTGTTTCTGGCTTTCTACCTTCATGTCACTGTAAAAGTATTTAGATCAAAGATGGTATATTCTAGGATGATGAAGTTCCTTCCTTTTATAGTAAATGAACTACTGAGGTGGGGGAGGGGGACTGAGAAAGGAGAAAAGAGGAGAAAGGAGTGGCTAGATTTTTTTAAACATCAATACTGATGAAGATGTTTAGATCATTTTTTTTCCTCTTTCTCCATGAAAAATCAGTTCTGGACATCTATATCAATAAGCCACTGAAAATACAAAGGAATAGAATCTGAATGTTCATACGAATAAAACTGGGTTAAGACTATTTAAAAGATAAATAGCATTAAGAGATATTAGGAAATTCCCTAACATTGTATTGTAACATTCCTTTTCATGATGGCTACCAATCTGCTACATAATACCATTTTCTATAAATCAAAATAAAATTTGTATTGGCCAATAAATTTAGTGAGCACCACTACCTACCTCTGTTTAAAGGAATGTGCACATTTCACAGGCAAATTTGTAGGTAAAATCAAATTGTAGCAATACACAGCCAGTAAGCTTTAGAAACTGCCGGAGTAATTGGTGTTTTCCCACACTAGGGGAAGAATGGTTTTCTATTATTGACTATTTTTATAGTATGTTTGCACACAATACTATTTCTACTGCTAAACATCCGTTTCCTTCCACAAATTATGTACAGGACAATCAAGTGGACAGGATGTGGAGAACACAATTGTATTCCATGTAAAGTGAAGGAACAATAAAGGCAATTTATAAATAAACAGGTTCCCAAAAGAAATATTTTTTTTTTAAAAAAGCAGCAACACAAAATCACCTCAAAATGCTAAAAGAACATGAATAATTTTAATTAACAGGAAGTTGAATTAGATCAAACTTTTACTGAGTTCTGAATGCTTTCTTCTGTACTCTTTAGGGGACAATTCTCCATTAACTGTAAGAGGTCTGAGTTTAAGAGGGTGAGCTTTGTTGTTCTATTCTTAACAAACACACACTTCCCCTCTGGGTTGTGTTGTCCTGGACAGCTTTTAAATCGTATCACATATACCACACCTTGTACAATGCTAATGCTCTTGTTATCAAACTTATGGAAGAATACACGGTGCTCATTATGCAGATGTTTTTGTTGTTCAATTGTGGCCCACTCTTTGTGACCTCATTTGGTGATTTTTAGGCAAAGATACTGGAGTGGTCTGCTCTTTCCTTCTCCAGCTCATTTTACAGATGAGGAAATAGAGGCCAATGGGGTTGAATGACTTGCCCAAGGTCACACAGCTAGTAAGTGTCTGAGGCCAGATTTGAACACAGGAAGATGAGTCTTTCTGACTCCAGGCCCTTTGCTCTATCCACCATACCACCTAGCTGCCCCAACGTGCAGGTGTAGAGGTAAGCAAATTATAAATTACACACTATGTCTACTGTGAAACTTGTCAGATCTATACAATTAAAATCATTACTTACCTGATCCGAATGCTTTCTCCATAAGGCAAAATAGAAAACGCTGCACACAAGGACCTTTTAGCACAAATCAGAACTATCCTGAAATGCAATGGGGAAAACAAATGATATAGGAAAGGTCCACAAAATTAGAACCATAAGCTAAGCATACTCATAAATATTGTAAGCAATTCAAATTACATGTTGGTTTCAATTCATCTCTACAAATGTATTAATAATAGCTGATGATTATACAGTGCTTTAATGTTTATAAAAAACTTAATACATTATCTCCTTTGGTTCTCATAGTTAACTATTGAAGCTAGAAGAGATTACATGTGCCCAAGATGACATAGTTAATAAGTATCAGAAGTAGAATTTGAATTTAGGCTTCTTAACTCCAATGTTCTTTCTATTATACCATGCTTCCTCTCAATTACATATTATGTGCTTAGGCTTTGGCTTAAATATTTTCTTTTACCTAAAAAAGCAAGCACATATTTCATTCTTAAAAATTCAGAAGATGGAAAACTTTCTAAGTTATTCCCTCATTTAGATACTTAAGTCCAGTGAACAAGAAAAGGTTAATGTCACTGATAAAACTGTGGGCCACCTCAAGCATAGAGTCTGAAGCTGCTGTTTCCTCCGAGTAGTGATTTTCTTTTGGTTATTAAAGGCTTAAGACCAATAGGTGGGGATTTGATCAACTAGTGCTAGTATCTCCCTTTCTCCACCCACACCAAATCTCATTATAATGGTGATAATTACTGTCAATAGCTAACCCTCTGAGCTGATCGTGGATGACTGAATTATACACACTGCAACATTTCTGGCAGATTAACAAGAGGGCTCAGGAAAGAGTCTCCATGTTCATATTGAACAGATGGCTGGATAGGGTTATTCCTCACTTTGGCCATCTCTATAGCTTCACCAGCAACCTTCCTGTCCTGGGGTCTTGCTCTTTAGATGGGTGACTGTCTCTATTGGTGATGCAGTGACTGGTGACTCCTAATTTGAGGAAAAACTCCAGCCATGATTAATTTACTCCCCAACTCTGACCATCATGACCTCCTCCATAACCTCAGCAGCAGTCTTCTTCTTCTTCCTCAACTATCCTTTCCTCTCCCCTCCCCATTCTGGAAACAAGACCAAATTAACTCTGCCAACCTATTCCTCTAAGGTCCCACTCCCCTTTTTGTGTGGCCTCCATCCTTGGAATTTAAGATCCTTCAGTTGTGAGACTGTCTCTGCTTTTTGTATGTGTATCCCCACAGAAGGGCTTAAAAATGCTTTCCCACTCATTTTTGGTTATTTGCTCATGAAAAGTTATTTACTGCCTAAAGCAAAAAGCAAGGCATTTGATAGGCCAATGATCCAATTAATGAGGTAAAGCCTTAATATTAAGAGTCACAAGACCTTAAAGTTAAAATTTTCTTCCTGTGATCCAAGTTTTTAATACTCCTCCTTCCTGTCCTCACCGTTACTGAAACTGAAGATGGCATATTACATATCGACCAGTAATATTGTGGTCATCCATTCCCTGGGCCTTAGTTTCTTCATCATTAATTTGAGAGGTTTAGATTTTATGACTCTTAAGGTCTCTTCTAGTTCTGAATCTATGATCCTAAAAGATTAGGCAAGTGTGAACCAGAACTACTTCTTTTTTTTTGGGCGAGGCAATGGGGTAAAGTGACTTGCCCAGGATCACACAGCTACTAAGTGTTATGTGTCTGAGGCCAGATTTGAACTCAGGTTCTCCTGACTTCAGGGCCAGTGCTCTATCCACTGCACCACTTAGCTGCCCCTAGAACTTCATTCTTCCTAGTGGAAAACAAAATTATAAGAATAAGCCCTTCTCCAAATGATAAATGGTCTAAAGATTATGAAAAAGCAGTTTTCAAGTTCCCAAGCTACCTATAGTGATATTTAAAAATGTTCCAAATTACTAATTATTAGAAAAACACAAGTTATAAAAGCAACTCTGAGGTTTGACCTCAAACCCATCAGATTGGCAAAACAGACAAAAAAAGAAAATGACATATTGGAGGGGCTGTGGGAAAACTCAAAATCCATGTACTGCTCGAACTATGAACTGGTTTAAACTATTCTATAAAACAACTTGGAATTATGTCCCCTCCAAATTATTGCTCTTTGACTCAGTGATATCACTATCACAACTAGATGCCAAAGATATCAAAGAAAGAAGAAAAGACCCATATGTACAAATATATTGCTAGCAGCTCTTTTTGTGGTGGCAAAGAACTAGAAACTACCAAGTTTCCCATCAATTGGGTAATAACTTAACAAATTATGGTACATGAAAGCAATGAAATACTATTTTGCTATATGAAATGAAGAAAGAGTTGGTTTTAGAGAGACCTGGGAAAACTTGTGTGGAATGATGCACAGTGAAAAGAACCAGGAAAATGATTTATATTATAACATCAGTATTGTAAAAATGAATAGTTCTGAAAGACTTCTGAATTCTGATGAATGAAATAACCAACTACATTTCTAGAAGACTGATGAATGCTACTCAATTGATAGATGATGGATTAATGTGCAGAATGAGAAATGCATTTTGGGATATGGCCAGTTTGTTTTGTTTGATTTTTTATATCTATCTCTATCTATTTATCTATCTATCTATCTATGAGAGATACAAGGGCTCTTCCTTTTTCTTTAAGCATGTGGGAGAAAGTGGGATGGAGGAAAAAATGTAGGTTAACTGAAAAGATATTTTAAAAAATCCAACTTGGTGCATGTCACCTTTATAATATGAAGTATATCACAAATAATTCATAGTAGGTCAAAAGAGCAAGAATTAATTTATCAGGGAAACTTAAGTAAAATTAATTTCATCTTTCCTTCTATCATAAATCCTAATTCCTAATTGCCAATTAAAACTGAGCCAGCATTTCTTTTTGAAGGTCTATTGATGCCTTTTATTTTTATATCAATCTTGAAAAAATATATCTTACCCACTGCCCTCTCTTTGTAACAAATATTAAAAAAGAAAAACTAACACATTGCTTCTGACAGTATATGCAACATTTGACACAAATAATCTCCTCTCAGGCCTAAAAGTTATGCATTCTAAAATACCTATTTTTTATTGCTAGCCTATACTCTCTATCCTAATTTTAACTTCTCCTTTAAATGTTTACTAGAATACTGCCATCATATTTTCTAGATTATCACCAAAAATTCCAAGGATGACTTGTAAATCTTACATGTTTTAAAATGAGCACTTCCATGTGTGTATATATGTATACATACACGTATATATTAGTAATAATATGGAGAAGAAAGGAAAGAAAAGTTGACCTAGTAAGGAAAAAGAAGAATGCTTATTTCTAAATATATTTTTTTTCTTTCTTTCGGGGGAGGGGGTGAGGCAATCGGGGTTAAGTGACTTGCCCAGGGTCACACAGCTAGTAAGTGTCCAGTGTCTGGTCTGAGGCAGGATTTGAACACAGGTCCTCCTGACTCCAGGTCTGGTGCTCTCTCCACTGCGCCACCTAACTGCCCCTAAATAGTTATATTTTTTAAAGATACAACCAAACTGCATCTGTTCAATCTGCATAGGACTGATTCACTTCACATGAAGCCTTCCTTTCCTGATGCCTTAAGCTGATATGATCTTTCTTCTGGAATTACCTTCTATATATTTTGTACCAACTTATAAAAACAGCTAGTGTTTATATATTGCTTTAAGTTTACAAGGCACTTTACATATGTTATCTCATTTGATTCTCGTAACAACCCAATGAGATGGGTGCTAATTATTACCCAGTTTTTTCTGTTTTCTTGATGTATTTTGTTTTCATATTACAAACATTTATAGATTACTCCCACTTTGTGAGAAGTGTCTTATGATGGAGTAAAACAGGTAAAATCACTAATACAGTAACCTTATTGAAAGTTCATGCAATATTTCACATCTGTAGTTACCTTCTAACCTACCCCAGTTGTGGTTTGGTCATTTTTCAGTTGTGTCCAACTCTTTGTGGCCCCATTTGGGGTTTCCTAGGCAAAGATACTGGAGTGATTTGTCATCTTCTTCTCCAGCTCATTTTACAGATGAAGAGCTGAGGCAAACAGGGTTAAGTGACTTGCCCAGGATCACGCAGCTAGGAAGTGTCGGAGGGCAGATTTGGACTCAGGAAGATGAGTCTTCCTGACTCTAGGCTTGGCACTCCATCCACTCTGCTACCTAACTACCTGGTAACACCCTCCCTGCCCCTCCCTTCCCCCTGCTACTTCTCTATTTTAAGAAAATGTGCAAAAATCTATTTTTTCACTCTCCCATACTCACATGCCATCAAAAAAAGGAAAAAAAAGCAAATTTCTTATAACATATCTATAGTCAAGCAAAACAAATTTCCCCAGTAGTTGTACACACACACACAAAATATGTTTTATTCTGTAACCTAAATCCATCACCCCTTTGTAATGGCTAGCATATTTCATCATCTGTCCTCTGCAATCATGAATGGTCACTGTATTGATCATAGTTTACAGCTTTCAAAGTTCTCTGCTTTTACAATGTTGTATAAAATGTTCTATTGGATCTGCTTGTTTCATTCCTAATTAGTTTATAAAAGTGCTCAGAAAGATTCATTTTTATAATATTGATCTTTTAGTATAAATTGTTCTGTTTCTGCTCATTTCACTCTGCATCACAACACAATAATATCTCATCATCTTTATATATTGCAACTTATTCTGCCATTTCTTAATTGTTGGACATCCTCTTAGTTTTCATTTTTTTAAACGACCACAAAGAGAGCTGCTACAAATATATTTGCACACATCAGACCTTTTCCTCTTTCTTTATCTCTTTTGGGTATATGTCTAGCGCTGGAATAGCTTTGGGAAAATATGCTCTTTAGTAACTTGGCTTGTATAATTACAAAGTATTTTCCAGAATGGTTGTACCTACTGATAGGTCCACCAACAGTGCATCAAGATCCCTGTTTTCCCACAGCCCTTCCCATGTTTATCATTGTCCTTTTTGGGTCATCTTTGCCACTATGATGGGTGTGAGTTCCTAATTATAGATGAGGAAACTGAGGGGCAGAGAAGTTAAATGACTTGCCCATATTTGAACAGCTATTAAGTGTCTGAGGCAGGATTAGAACTCAGATCTTTCTGATTTTAAGTACAACACTGCCCACTGTGCTACCTAGATGGATATATGTTGTTTTCCCTGATGGAATGAGTTTCTTGAGGGCAGGGATGGTTTCATTGGTGTCTTTGTGTCCATAGGGCCTAGCACAGTGCCTGGAACATAATTAGTGTTTGTTGATTAAGCAAGTGAATAATTCACTTAGGCATAGTGATGGCTAGGTGTCAGGGACAGTAAGAAGGACAGTTTGGCTGGACCACACAATGCATGTATGGAAGTAGTGTGTAATAAGCTTAGTAAAGGAGGTTAAGATGACAGCGAGGTGTCCCAGTGGATGAAATGCCGGGCCTGAAGTCAGGAAGACCTGAGTTAAAATCCTGCCTCAGACACTTACTAGCTATATGGGCAAGTCACTTAAACCCTGTTTGCCTCAGTTTCCTTCATCTGGAAAATGAGCTAGAGAAGGAAATAGCAAATCACTTTGGGATCTTTGCCAAGAAAACCCCAAATAGGATCATGAAGAGTTGGACACAACTGAACAACAATAAAAAAAAAAAGAGGTTAAAACCAGGCTATTTAAGTCTTTAAATTCCAAACAGGTGCTTGTATATAGATCCTACACGTAATAGGAAGTGCTTCTTAAGGAGGGGAATTACAGTCAGAACTATATTTTAGGGATGTCACTGGAAGATATGAGTTTCAAGTCAACTGGGTAATTTCTAAAGTTCTAAGATTCTACTGCAAATGAAGCCTCCCCCCCAAAACCACACATTTAATAATTTGAAAATCTTCATATATTAACCTGCTCTATTGGTCTTATGATTTTAAGTAGACTTATGGAGATAGGTATTTCACCTGAAAATATACTGTAGAAGAAACACTCAAACCATGTAAAGAACATTATGTTTCTATATTAAAGTAATAAAAAATCAAAGGTCACCTGCTATTTTTTGTGTCATACTGTCTCATGTTCTTAATAAAATGAGTCTTCTTCAAGCCTTTGTGTCTTGGTGATCCAGATATGTGTTTGGTCCTGCAATTGGAAAGGAAAAAAATAAATAAATTCCTCCCCACCCCCTAGACTCTTCAATAGGGATTGTATGATCAGATAGCAGCACCAGCATGCAGGACCTCCGGCACTTTTCTCGGACAAGGGTAGCAGGGGGAAAAGGAGTGCATGCAACAAGATTAATGCTGCTTTGAAAGAGTACCTTTGTACAGTGGCATATTCCACTATGTCTTCTAAAAATTCTAGAGAACAGCGCTGGGAGATAAAACGCCTTCTGCAAAAATGTACACCAACACGAAGAGTGAACAATATTAATTGGAAGTTGTAGTGAATAGAAACTAAAAAAAGTCTGTGAAGGATCCCTTAAAATATTTATCAAAAAAGTAAAAACAAAAAAAATAATCCTCTCAATAGTCATTCTTTAAAATTTCAGGAAAAAAGACAGACTCATTAGTATGCAAAATTCAGCTTAAAAGAATGGGTCAAGAAGATTTTTATTATCTATTTTAATTAGAAGACCTTATACTTAAATGGGATCTATGAACTCACCAATGTGGGTAAATCCCTCCATTAGTCCCAAACAACCCATCCATACCTTTTCATTTTTGGGTACCTTACCCATGTTTTTTCCTACAGATCCTCCAGAGGTCTTCCTCTCTAACATTACATTTCTTCCCCTCCAATCCTACCTTCCATACCCTCTTTGGTACTAGAGTACTTTCTCAAGATCTTTTTACCTTTCACAGTACAATGGAAACACTCTAGTGGTCTATTTGTTACCATTTGCTCTTGTTACATGGCTGGCCCACTTCCTTTTCAAATCACAAATTTATTTCTTCAATGATATATTACTATAGGGTATATATTATATATCATTATATATTATAAATAATATATTATATAAAATATCAATTATATATATACTAGTTCTTGCAGACTGTGAAACAATTGATGCTTCTAGAAAAACAGATCTTTTAAGAAATGCATTAAAAAAATCTGAAAAAGTTGCTCTTCTGTCTTTGAGGACTGAGATTTCTGGATGGTAATATCAATAATCCACATGAAAAGCAAATTAGTGTGCTAGAATCTCATCCTTACTAATACTTAATATTTACTTAGCATAGTGTAAGTTACAGTTATTTTGTATAATTTCTGGGAGAAAACTGGTTTAAGATGAAAATCCCATATCTCTACTTTCCTAAACATTATTGCTTCCATTTTAAGGAATTATTGTATAGAAATAAATATATTTCAAATATATCTATCTTTTTGGAACATACAATGGCAAGTGAGACATATATGTATATATGTACATGTATGTATACGTGAACACATATATATAAATGATTCTGCCTAGAAGATGCATGAAAGATAATTTCTAACTTCAAGGCAGTGTCAGGAAAGGTTTCACAGAGGAGGTGGCATTTCAGCTAGGTCTTGAAGTACTGGTTCAATTTCAATGGCTGGAAATGGCAGGGAGGACTGGTGGAATGGTGGAAAGACATCATAGGATGCTAGAGGGTAGAATAATTGGTGAACGGTACTGTAAAACAACGTTAGAAAGAGAGCAATTAAAAAAACCCCTTCCATTTTATTAACATTTTCTTTTCTACATAAACAATTTATGGCAATTTCTGTGGAACACGTAAACAACAACAACAACAAAATTAGGGAATACTAGCAGGGACATTTGTTCCCCCAAACATAAGATTTATTGGGAAGATGAGAAGAGAACTAATTTTACACAAAAACAAATATCCTATGCTAAAAACGAGGCAAGTACTTTTAAACTTTAATATATTTAATATATTGTGTGATTAAAAAAATTTATTCTATATCTCATTATGTCAGTGACCTCCCAAAAGGAGTACACATGATCCACTGAGTGTGGGAATAAAATACTCTTATATTTTATTTCTACTTATTATCTAAAAAATAAGTTAGACAGTAAGTTTTACATATAGTGTAGTATTTGAGGCCTCCTTTAAGAAAGTATGGAGGGGCAGCTATGTGGTGCCATGGATAGAGCACCAGCCCTGGAGTCAGGAGAACCTGAGTTCAAATACGACCTCTGACACTTGACAATTACTGGCTGTGTGACCCTGGGAAGTCACTTAACCCCACTGCCTAGCAAAGAACAACAACAACAACAAAAGTATGGGAATTCACCAAGCACAGAAGAGATGAGAGAGTGGGACTTTGTTCACTTTCACTCTTACCTCATACTTTAAGGGGTTTTTTTTATAATGTACACAATATATTGGCACAGTAGTACATGTGTGTAACAAATAAATGTATTTTTATTTTAAAAAAAATCTTTTTTACGTATAAGTGTGTGATTCAAAAAATTTAGAGACTGTGATATTATCATGGCCTTAATAAAACCACATGACTGACCTATGTTTTCCACAAGTGAACTGTTTTAAAGAAATGACATCAATGAAAAAATTGGTTCACTGAAAACCAAGATCCAGAATTACACATAAACTGTGTGCCTGATTAAATATATCAATATATCATCCAGTTTTAATTAAACTAACTCTCATAAAACGGACAAGTGTGTTAAAAAGATTCCTGTAAAGAAACTGTGGACTGATAATACCAATAATGAACACAAGTGAATGATAAGAAAATGGGAGAGCTAACACTTTTAGTCCTAAGGGGATCTGTCAGCCATATTACAAGTAAAACAATGACAATCTAATCATATCTAACAAGAAGGAGCACCCCCAAATTTAAAAAAAGTTATCAAGAAGACTGAAAAATGGATTACATCCTCTACTGTTAATGATTAACCCCTGCCCTAAGTGTATGATGTGCCTTCTGATATTAGCTAATAATAGCATAAAACCATTGTGACTAGCAAGACTCTTAAGAACTAGGCTTTTGTTGTCAAAAACGTGTCAAATCTAAAAGTCTCATATTTGCACACTTTAAAAACAATTTTCTAACTTGATTAAAAATATTCCAAATGAAGAATTTCAGTGAATTTTTGCTTGATATCAGGAAAGATGGAAATTTACCAACTGAATGTCCACAAAGACTTGTGGATAATTTCTGGATAGGATGAAAAAATAAGTACCATGATTTACAGTAAGCAGGGCCAATGATGTACTTTTTCTACTTGTAACTACATACATTGGTGAGGTATCTTTTTCACAAAAACTATGGCAATAAACTGAACTTAGTACATGAACTTAGCTGTGTTGCAAAATGTTAAAGATTTTTAAAAAATAAATGTTCAATAACCTGGCTTACTAAAAACTGAATATTTAGTGATAAAAAGTTTGTGTACCATTTAAATTTATTTCACTCTTATCTCGTACTTTAAGGGTTTTTTTTTGGTTTGGCTTTATAATGTACACAATATATTGGCAGAATAGTACATATATATAACAAATAAATGTATTTTTTTTATTAAAATTTTTTTTGCTCATAGGTGTGTATGATCCAAAAAATTTGGAGACTGATATATGTGATATTATCATGACCTAATAAAACTCACATGACTGGCCTATGCTTTCCACAAATGAAGTATTTTAAAGAAATGACATCAATGAAAAATTGGTTCACTGAAAACCAAGATCCAGAATTTCACATTCTAGTCTATGCCACTGATAATGCTATTCCTTATGCAATAGCAATTTGGTGCATAAGAAGTCAATACTACATTCTCTCAGATTTGGGGAAATTTTCAGTAACTTTATGTGAGCAAAATTATCTATAGTTCAATTTCTGCTCAAGTGATTGTTAATTTTTCTCAAGGCACTGGAAGCACATTTTGTTAGCTTAGGCAAAGTTCACTGTTCATAATGTGCTAATTAATATATTAAGTCAGGAGCTAAGATTTTATTCTGGAGCACAACATTCTTACTATCCTATTTGTGCAAGGGACTCAATTAGATTTATGTTTGACTACTACAAGATGAATGTGTCAGAACCTGGGCTTATGTAAAGTGTGTTGTAAACCTTGGTGTTATATGTCACCTATTATACTTTTATTAAGTGAAGCTATGAAAGAAAGGCAAAAATGACTCTAAAACAGAATTCAGAAATATTATGAAATATTTCATCAGGGGTCTGTGCTGAGCAATGATAATATTAACAGCTAGTATTTACATAGCGCTTTAAGGTTTGCAAAACACTTTCCAAAATTATTATCTTATTTTATTCTCCTAATGCCAGGAAGAGGGTGCTATTATCTTTACTTTACAAATGCAGCAAACAAAATTAAGTGACTTCCCTTGGATCCCATAGTCAGAAATGTCTGAGATCACATTTGAACTCAGATCTTACAGACTCCAGGTCCAGCATTCTACCCACTGCCTAACACTTTGCAATGTGAGAGATAAAAAGGATGAGGCAATGGTGGGAAGATGGATCAAAAATCCAAATATAATTTCATTTTATTCTCAAGTATGCAGGTATTACATAGTAGGCAAAAACCTGTTACCTTATGATGAATTAAGAGAAAGCATAATGTGCAGAATGAGGGAAGTGATGATGAGGTCATATTCCTTATGAACTCTGCTCTAGTCAGACTATGCCTGGAATATAATGATATTGATGATAATAAAAATAAATACTTCCATTTATACTGCACTGTAAGGTTTGGAAAGTGTTTTACAAATATTATCAGATTTTTTCCTCACAATAACCTTGGGAGGTAGATGCTATTATTACCTTCATTTAACAGATGAGGAAACTGAGAAAGACAGATGTTAACTGATTTACCTATGGTTATCTAGCTAATAACTGTTTGAGGCAGGATTTGAAACTCAGGTTTTATTGAGTCTAGGTCCAAGCACTCTAAACTGCTGCACTGCCAGCTGCCTAAGTAGAATTATGGTGTCCAATTCTAGGCAACATGGGGCAAATCTAGGGAAGTGCGGTCAGGATGGTGATGTCTCTGTATCTGAGGATCAGATGAAGAAAACAGAAAGGCTGAAAAAGCCTGAACAAGAGGAGATTTGGCTGTCTAGGTACTTAAAGATCTGTCTTATGGAAGAAGGACCAGATTTGTTCTGTCTGTCCTCAGAGGGCAGAACTAGAACAAAGTTGTAACTAGCAGACAACTCTGCAAAGTGTGTTCTCCAGGAAACTGTGAACAAGTTCAGTTGGGGGCAAAGGAGAGGATGGAGGAGAAACCTTGAGATACAAGGCTTTGGCAGGACACAGTGAGGCTGCTGCTTGGCAAATATCCACAGGGTGGAGTGGAAAAGCATCAGTAACTTCCTATGTTAACTAATTATTCTTGATAATTAGGTGTCAAGG